AGAAAAAGGTAAATATGGGATAAGGAAAAATCAGATGATTTTAGGTGCATCAGCAATTCAGCATTAATAGATTCAACATTTCTTTTTCATTCAAAGCATGTCATGGCTCTGTTCATATTGCAACAAATCAGTTGTTTCTTTTTTTGGCATAAATGCCTGCAAACAGTTTACTGCACACAAATTCTAATAAAAATATCTTAAGATTTCCCCAGCATATAACTAAAATTCAGAGATATTTAAAGGAACGGAATTTTAAACATTGCATATATTATTAATTGGATAAAAATAAGCTTCCATTTCCTTGCTTTTCCCCCTAATTCTTCAGAAATTTGTTGGTCTAACTTTCCATAAAGCATAAGAAATGCTTGTGGATGCATACACACAGAGAGTAGTAAATACCATGATGAAGCACTTTTGCAGTGTCAAGTAATCTGCACGAACAACTGAGTTTCCAAATTGCCTGAAGAAACAAGTCTGCAAATTTCAGAATTAGGAAGAATCTGAATAAAATTATCATGTATATAGTCTCAATGTTTTTAACACAACTGAATTCAGTAAATAAAAAATTCATGCCTTTCTACCAATAAATAAAATAATGCTCCAAAATAAGTTATAAATGGCATTTTGCCATAATACACATTACACAAGCTATAACCATAGATTTCCAACACCAATCTCTGCCAATGAGCAAAGGATGAATCACCCTCCAGAATTGCCAAAAAAATAAAGAGGAGGAAAACAAAAAGGGCTCAACAGGATGCCATATCCCCGCCCCCCCCTAAAAAAAAAAGAACCAAAATAAAAAGAAAAAAACATTTTCATTCCTAAACCATAAAAACAAATAAACTTAGAAAACAATAAAAAAATGGTAGTAAGCAGAGAAAGTAAACTCATCAAGTAGAAAATGCTTTTTACCTACCACCCAGATCAGAAACCTATTTTTGGCAAAGGGGTTTGATGTATGGTATCTGACAAAAGTGGTTTGCCTTCGCGTTGTGAGCTCTCGTGTAATTTCTGTCGAAAATTGCATTTCTATACATGAATACTTTAAATGAAGAATCTGAAAACTTTAAGTCGTACCCTGTAGTACAAGGCTCATTGACTAGAATGTAGTAGTAAACTCTGTGTGAGTAAGCTCTAAGAAGTTAAAACATATAATTTCTTACTCTACAAGTTTTTTTCAACTAACTTAGGAGATGAATTTAAATTAAAAATACTAGTTTGCCTTACTGTGTAATGAATTGTGTCGGTCCATATGAGCTTCTTCTTCCCATGCCCTCCAACTATGAATCCGGCCAAACGGTTATAATTCCTCAGTCACAAAGAGAAAGCATGTTTACAAAAACAGCTGAACAGCAATCTTACAAAACAAAACTAGGATAAGTCCATCTACATAAAATTCCTTGGTCACAATTAATATGATTCCAATCTCAAGGTCAAACCTTCACGATTGCCAGCAACATTGTTAAGCAACTGTAGGATATATGTGTGGTAGCCATGACAAATATGAAGGGGTGCAACTGCTCAAGACCTTCATATGACACAAAAGGCTCATGACCCTGCAGAACAGAGTAATTTTCAGATCATCCGAGGTTGTACAATACATTGAGTCTAGTTATGAATCTATAGCAAACAAAGTTTAAAAGAAAATGCAATAACAAAAAATATTTTTATCAGGAAATACAAAAAGAAGAAAAAAAAGTGAATCCTAGAATCAGATATGGATAATTCACATGCCTCTTTGCAGGTATTTCGATTCATGCTATTCAAAATTCTCTTAAATGAGTGAGAAACAGGACTCATCAAAAGTTTCCGCTCCTTGGAACCATCATCTTCAAGTTGTTGATCAATTTCAGACCTGGTACAAGGAGCAAAAGTGCTATCGTAGAACTTTGATGGAATCCAAATATTGGCGATTGTGCTTGAGGTGGCTGTTAGAAAGAGGGATATGAAGCCAAGCAGCATTAACTCTGAAGACAGAAGTTCAAAAGCATCATAAAGAAAGTCACAAATAAGGCCAAGCAAAGAGTATGTGAGTCATGTTAATTAATTATTCAACAATTTCCAATAAGCTGCAGTGCTGCACATAATTTATATGCCATTACCTTCTTTCATTTTCTCTACAGCTGCAAGCAAAGGTTTTCTGTTGGTTTTCCGCAAACACTGGAAGAATGAAAAAACGAAACTCAGTAGAAAGCTTCCAAGTATTATAACTAATACAAACCTCTTTACCTTCATGGTTTGATAAAGGAATAGAGAAGTTATCAGAAAGTATATTAATCCAGTGATACTAGATAGCCAAGAGTTGCAGAAAACCACAAGCACCATAATTACATATTATGTCCAATTAAAACCCAAGCAACCATGAAATATTATTTCTCAATCCTCGTATTTAATAAATTCCAGTGATGGTACATAACCACCTCTAGATCGCTTATACATTATCATCTACATATTCACTGCCACTGATAAAAATTCTCAGTGGCAATTAAAAGTAAAATATTAGTATCAGATAAATTTTTACCTGTTAACCAAATTAACATGAAACATTCTAGAAATGTGCAAAAATAACACAAAATACATTATTAGCTGATAGAAGGATAACCACAAGTTACAACCTAGATACCAGTACTCACATTGCTCAGGCGGTGAATTGAGTGTTCCACAACCAAAGAAACCACCACAAATATTGTCAACACGGTAGCAACAGACCATGTTGGTGTTAGTGCCAGTGACCTCAGTTCTTTATCACTACCGGAGTTTTCTGCCATTCTAAGCAACTTTAGTCAGAAACCTCCAAACCTATCTTCCCAAACTAAGCCCCAAAAGAGACCTTCCTCACTCTCTCTCTCTCCAACTAATCCAACAAATTTCATACAGAAATTCAGAAATTATAAACTCAACTATTAAAACACTCTCCCAAACCTCATTAACCCTACATGGAGAGACCAGAAAATCAACAAATTCTGGTCTCCAACATCAAAGACGGTACAGAAAAGGCAAAAAAAAAGAAAATGGATTCTCCCAATTTAACTCAGACCAAAAAACAAAACAGGAAGATGGCAAATGTAGAAAGGGTGTGGCAAAATGGTTGTTCTTTTGCCAAAAATCTAATAATCCTGCACAAATCAGGGATTAGTTGACGCAGAAATTTGTTGACTAGAGAAAAACGCCAAGACAAGGAAAGGCAATAGAATGATCCAGTCCAGGCTCTACACCAAATAACCAAACTACCTGTTCCTTTATCTTTCACTTTTGCTTGAGAAAGGAAACTACAATTAAACACAAACTTAACTACTCAAGTCAGTATGCAAACAAGAAACCAAACCTCAACAGTATGCAGTTATTACACAACCGCTTCTGTCTCTAGAAAGTTCAAAGCCACCATCTTTTTTGTAGACCCACTTAGAAATGAGGAACCTTTTCCTTCTATACTACTCAATTTTCTCTCATATTTTTAGAATCAGTATTTCTGAAAATGGAAGAAAACATGGGAACCGAATCTTAAGGAACCCACATTGACATCAGATCTAAATAACAATAAACAGAACCATAACCACTTAACCGGAACTCGCCAGTCAAGATAAAACAAGAAAAAAAATTATCCCTTTTGAAATCAATGGAAACCAGAAGATTTTGGGAATTCTGGAAAAGGAAATAAACGAGGGACTTTTGGAAGACAGGGAATGCAGATGGACCTACGAGGAGACTGGGAGAGACCTGGTATTCAGACTGGGACTTTATGTGGTGAAGTAGTATTTTTTTTTAAGTTAGCTTTTGGATTTTGCATGCTGACTCGCTGATGCTGATCATACTGTATTTTGTCTTCCATTTTACAACATCAATGGAGTAATTTCCGCCTATAGTTTCTCTTCCCCAGACCCCCTTAAATCTAATCCACGTTATTTTGCAATAATATTCATACATTTACCAAAGCAAAAATGTAATGTTGGTATTAAATTGAATGACTCTTCAATACGACAGTGTTTCATCTTGTTAGCTTCATTTTTTGTCCTATTTTATTTTATTTTTTAGGTTTTTCTAAT